GGTAGTCACCTGAAATGGTTTTCCAACAGTCTTGAAGGAGTTCCCAGAGGTGTTTAGCACTTGTTGGCCCCTTTGCCTTCACTCTGCGGTCCAGCTCACCCCAAACCATCTCGATTGGGTTCAGGTCCGGTGACTGTGGAGGCCAGGTCATCTGCCGCAGCACTCCATCACTCTCCTTCTTGGTCAAATAGCCCTTACACAGCCTGGAGGTGTGTTTGGGGTCATTGTCCTGTTGAAAAATAAATGATCGTCCAACTAAACGCAAACCGGATGGGATGGCATGTCGCTGCAGGATGCTGTGGTAGCCATGCTGGTTCAGTGTGCCTTCAATTTTGAATAAATCCCCAACAGTGTCACCAGCAAAACACCCCCACACCATCACACCTCCTCCTCCATGCTTCACAGTGGGAACCAGGCATGTGGAATCCATCCGTTCACCTTTTCTGCGTCTCACAAAGACACGGCGGTTGGAACCAAAGATCTCAAATTTGGACTCATCAGACCAAAGCACAGATTTCCACTGGTCTAATGTCCATTCCTTGTGTTTCTTGGCCCAAACAAATCTCTTCTGCTTGTTGCCTCTCCTTAGCAGTGGTTTCCTAGCAGCTATTTGACCATGAAGGCCTGATTGGCGCAGTCTCCTCTTAACAGTTGTTCTAGAGATGGGTCTGCTGCTAGAACTCTGTGTGGCATTCATCTGGTCTCTGATCTGAGCTGCTGTTAACTTGCGATTTCTGAGGCTGGTGACTCGGATGAACTTATCCTCAGAAGCAGAGGTGACTCTTGGTCTTCCTTTCCTGGGTCGGTCCTCATGTGTGCCAGTTTCGTTGTAGCGCTTGATGGTTTTTGCGACTCCACTTGGGGACACATTTAAAGTTTTTGCAATTTTCCGGACTGACTGACCTTCATTTCTTAAAGTAATGATGGCCACTCGTTTTTCTTTAGTTAGCTGATTGGTTCTTGCCATAATATGAATTTTAACAGTTGTCCAATAGGGCTGTCGGCTGTGTATTAACCTGACTTCTGCACAACACAACTGATGGTCCCAACCCCATTGATAAAGCAAGAAATTCCACTAATTAACCCTGATAAGGCACACCTGTGAAGTGGAAACCATTTCAGGTGACTACCTCTTGAAGCTCATGGAGAGAATGCCAAGAGTGTGCAAAGCAGTAATCAGAGCAAAGGGTGGCTATTTTGAAGAAACTAGAATATAAAACATGTTTTCAGTTATTTCACCTTTTTTTGTTAAGTACATAACTCCACATGTGTTCATTCATAGTTTTGATGCCTTCAGTGAGAATCTACAATGTAAATAGTCATGAAAATAAAGAAAACGCATTGAATGAGAAGGTGTGTCCAAACTTTTGGCCTGTACTGTATGTGTGTGTGTGTGTGTGTGTATATATATATGTATATCCCCACCCCTAATATAAACTAAAATGGAACTTTACATGAGCAAGATAAAATTACAAGGAAAAAGTGACAGTGGTGTGGTTAATAGCAGCAGAGTCAGCAAGTCTAGTATACAGTATGTCAACAGCATAAATATTACAATAATAACATATAACATGATAAAGTTATGAGTGTTTGTCTGTATTAATATGGATATCTAACAGAACAAACAGTTTATCATATCGTATAATTAAATAGGAGATATAGTACAAAGTAAAATGTAATAATGTAACATAGGATATTATATTGTATGGCAATAAAAGTAAATACTTAGTACTTAAATAATAAGTAATGAATATGGGATAATATATAACACACTATATAAATCAGTCCATTGCTTGTAATATCAGCTTTCTGGCTTTTGTCAGACAGCTCGGCTGGCACTGATGGAGATGATGGAGCTCTGGAGGTTTTGTCAGTGGAAACAATTTCACAAAATATCCACTGGGGCAACAAGGTCAGTGAGAAACAGCTAGATATTGTCAATGCCACTTCACTACCTTTGTCCGCAGAATAGCTGCTGTCATTGCATGAACATGTACAAGCTGTTCATGTCATGCAGGTTATGTAGCTTACATGAATTATGAATCGTTTGTGTGTGTTATATCACAGACATGCATTACTGATGCTGTTACTGTGAGCTGTCTGCACACAGGCAACACAGGTAACGTGGACAGGGCTTTGAATAAAGGTGCAATTTCCACAGTTTGTCAGTTGTTGTGGCCAGGTAGCCTCTCGGGTTGTTAGTCATTTTTGATCATTTGTAGCGTGCGCTGGTGCAGCCTTTACGCCATCATTTACATATTTAACAGTGTCTCAACAAGCAGGAGGGGAACATTTTAGTCATGACCATCAATTTCGATGGCAAATTGAAACAGCTGCAGCTAATTAATGTTAATGCTGTGGGTTTGTCAATTAACCACAAAGGAAACTCTTGGCTGTTGTGAAAATGTCTGTACTGTTTAAGCCTGGTCAAAGGTGGTTTCTCTCATCATGTTGATGTTTGAAAGGACAGAGTGTCTTTTTTCTGGTGGGCGGACCTCCTCTAGATAAACGGCTTGGCTTCACATCATGTCGCTTTCAGACGGACAGTTGGCAGCTAGCTCTGTAGCTGTTGAGTGTAAACTGCCAGCTGTTAGATAGTAGTCAGACGGCTGAACGTCCCAGTGGTTTTAAGTTTCTGTCAGTACTGTAGAATCTTTCATTCGTATATAAAGCCATGGTGATTATTCAGACTCCTATCAAAGCTGCAGTCAGCTTTTCTAATCCAGAACACTTTTTGTCTAAATTCAGCCAGTATCTCCTGATGGTCCGCGAGCTGTCTGTTCTGTGTGGGTGCTGAGAAAAACATCCGGTGTTCATACACAGGCCTGGCTCTGTAAATAGGAAACAAACAAAGTGTCTCAGGCCGAGCCTAATCCAGCCAATTGAGTGTTTGTGCTTGAGCACAGGACTGGGAAAAGGCCATGGATGTATAAAGCTAAAGGTGATGGAGTTGAGAGGAGCAGTAAATGATGGGAGGGGTGTATTTGTGGTGTCATACCACGGCCCAGAATTCTGAAGCCCTATTAGTCTGATGGACAGAAAACCCATTTCTCTGAAAACCCTTAATACCAAAAACAAATGCCTATCGTCTGAAGTGCCACTTATCCGAAAATACACGCCCCCTACAATTTGTTTCAGTTCCCCAGCAACATTTAAGCGACAGATCCCTGGTGTTTTTATTGACCCTTTGTGCCGTTTCCAAGTGGTGTTTGAGCCACTGAACTCAGCTGTTTTTATTGACCCTTTGCTTTGTTTTCCAGCGATGTTTGAGCCACCGATCCCTGGTGTTTTTCACCAACCCGTCCCTCCTTTTCCAGTTTTGGGGCCATGCCACTGTTCAAACGGCTCAAAATTCTGAAGCCTGATTAGTCTGACTGACAGTCAATTTCTCTGACAACCTGTTATCCCAAAAACAAATGCCCATTGTTCTGAAGTCCCACTTATCTGAAAATACACACTACTTGCAAGTAGTTTCAGTTGCCTGGTGACGTTTGAGCTACGGATCCCTGGGGTTTTTACTGACCCTTCGCAGCATTTCCCAGCATCATTTGAGCCACTTAACTCTGCGATTTGCGCCATTTCCCACTGGCGTTTGAGCCACCGAACCAAGGTGACCCTTCAGAGTGTTCCTCAGCAGCACCTGAGCCACTGAACTGGGGTGTTTTACAGACACTTTGCCTTGTATCCCAGAGACATGTTGAACCACTGATCCCTGCTTTTCCAGTTGTGGTGCCATGCCATTGTTCAGACGGCACAAAATTCTGAAGCCCCTGAACTCTGAACTCTGTTTAGTCTGATGATCTGACAGTTCATATCCCTGACAACCTGTTATCCCAAAAACAAATGTCTGTTGCTCCTAAGTCCTGCTTGTCCGAAAATACACACTCTCTGCAATTTTTTTTCAGTTCCCCAGCGATGTTTGAGCTATGGATCCCAGGTGTTTTTACTGACCCTTCCCTGCATTTCCCAGCAACATTGTAACCACTGAACCTATCCTTGCTTTTCCAGTTGTGGAGCCATGGTATAGTTCAGACGGCCCAAAATTCTTAATCCCTATTCCTCCAACAACTTGTTATCCTGGAACAAACTGCCATTGCTCTTAAGTCCCACTTATCTGAAAATACAAACTCCCTGCAATTAGATTTTCCCTGGCAACATTTGAGCGACGGATCCCCGGGGTTTTAACCGACCCTTTGCACCGTTTCCCAGCAGCATTTGAGCCACCAAACTCTGGTGTTTATGACTGACCCATCCCTGCTTTTCCAGCAGTTTTTGTGCTACAAAACATGGCTGTTTTAAGCCAAAACATGATCTTTTTCCAACCATTACCAAGTGTTTTTTGTGCCTAACACTAATCACACATTAACCACAGCATTGTCCACAAACATAAAGTTGCAGCGTCTATGCTACAAAGTAATGTACAAATGTAACATGTCTGTGGTTTACAGACAGTGCAAGCATTTTTCTGGCAACTGGGTTCTCACTGCAGGGAGTGTGTATTTTCAGAGAAACCAGATTTGGATCAAAGAACGTTTGTCTTTGGGATAACAGGCTTTCAGTTCAATGGGACTTTTATCAGGGCTTCAGAAATTTTGGGTGGTTGAAACAGTGGGAAATATCAACAATCTGTACACAAAAGTCGCTGACTCCATCTTTAAGTGTGCCTTTTGCTGTCTGTTGTTTTCTTCTGTCACAAACAAACCTCACATATAAAATGAAAGACTAGAAAGATGTTTTCCACTGTGAAGCTGACAGCAGCTGTTCACAGTAAAAACAGTAAATACAGGTTGAATCCCCAGCGTGTCATATCAATCGGTAATAGAAAGAAAGAAATTTGTGCTGTACGAAAATGTCAAAGCTTATTACTTTATGAAAAGTTAGTGATGTTATTTGTCATGCAAACAACAAAATGTTATAGAAGAACGTGGCATCATCACATCAACACAGCCTTGTGTTTAAAGTCAGCAATAGCCTCAAAACCATCCTGGCAAATAACTTACTGTCAGCAGCAGAGGACGGCTCTCTTTGACAGCTCCCACACAGCCCAAACAGCCAATCACCATGATGATGGTCCCCACTGCGATGAGCAGGTTGGCTGCCGACAGGGAGGGAAGGGATGATGATAGGGTGGCAAAGTTTCCCTGGGTCACTGAGAGCCAGACTCCCACCCCAAGTATGCCACATCCTCCCAACTGCAGAGGAAACACAAAGAGGCATAAAGCTGTCAGACAACACAATCAAACTCATCCTAAACAGGAACACAGTCAGACATTGTGCTGCATAAAAATATCTGCAGACTTGTGGCTTTTGGTTTGTTTTTTGTTTTTTTCATGGCGGTGAGGATGTGCAAAGATTGAAGAGAGAAAACCAAAAAGACTCTTGTCAAAGACTCAGAACAGCAGAAACAATTGGATCAACAGAGGAAGCAGAACAAAGCAGTCCAAGTCCCCAAACAACAAAAAGTTAAGAAGAATAGTTCTACATCTGGGAAAACATGCTTATTTGCTTTTTTGCAAAGGTGGTGAAAAGACTTATACCACTGTCTCATCCTTCCTGTAAATGTAAGGCTTTAGCCAGCAGCCAGTTAGCTTAGCTTAGCTTAGCTTAGCTTAGCTTAGCTTAGCACGAGGACTGGAAGCAGAGGGAAATGGCTAGCCTGGCTTTATGCAAAATCTGCAAACTAGCACCTCCAAATTTAGCAGGTTAAATAACTCCAAAGTTGTTAGCTTAAGCCACACAAAAAACAGTGAAAAACAACAACAGCTAACAACAGCAATTACTTCCAGGTGGACAACTGGCAATTGATTTGAAATGTGCAGATATGTGAAATTGGCAAACTTGCTTATTTCTGTTTATATTTGTTCTATTTGCAGCTGTAACTGTAACTTTCCTTGCACTGAGGCTAAACAATGCATTGGTGTGGACAGGGGCTGAATCAAATGTATTTTAGCTACCTAAAAAAAAAAAAAAAAAAAAAAAAAAAGTTTAAATTACACTATATTTGGAATAGTTTCACTTCTTTACCCTTCACACATTCACTGATGGAGGCAGCAGGAAACCGGCAACTCCTGTGTTTTGCAAGGTAAACTAATTTTTTTGTCAATGGACTTTGGTGGCTTCGGTTGCCTATCCAAAAGGCTTTATAACAGCAAAGTAAAGTGGTGCAAATATTCCAAAATATAGAGTATACTTACACTTTTGTGTATGTTTTTAGGTTGCCCTTTTTTAAGGTAGGCTAGTTAAAAATGAATCAAGAGGCAGCATCCCCTCAGTGCTGCTTTATTTTATACACATACTGCACAGGTTTTCTACCCCAAAGGACTGTCTTAGTGCTAAGTAGGGCTGTAACGGTACATGTATTTGTGTCGAACTGTTCGGTACGTGACTTTTGGGTTCGGCACGACCCTGTACTGAATTACTGGGCGCAGGATATTATTTTATTTCATTTTGTTTTATTTTAACTCTGTTTTTGCGAGCCGAACCATTTAAAATATCTAGTTCCCCGACAGACATAACTGAGTGATGGACCAAGTCCGACTGTAAATCTCCGCCTTCACTTTGTGCAGCGCATTCTCGCATTTTGACAACATGGCAAGTGAGCCTGACGAACCTGAAGACCCACCCGCAAACCTTAAGTCCTCCGTTTGGGAACACTTTGGTTTCAGGGTAAAATACGAAGATGGAAATAAACGAGTTGACAAGACAAAAGCAGTGTGCTGACACTGCAGAACAGCGGTCGGGTATGTACTTGGAAACACGTCTAACATGCTAACGCATCTAAAGTGACACCACCCGAGTTTGAACGTTAACAGGCTCGACTAGAAAAAGCAATCTGGTGCAAACTACGATATCGTCGTCATTTAAAAAGAAAGAGCGTTTCCCTGACCATTGCACTAAAGAAATAACCAACACCATTGGAGTTGAGTAAAATTGTTTAAGCTGCACTTTAGATATAAGCATGTTTTGTTTACTGCACTTTAACAAAGTGGGAAAGCTAAGTAAGTTCCTAGTAATGTCATGATCCTGTTTTCAGTTAGTTAAGTCACCCATTTTGTGTTCATGTTTTGTGTCTTGTCCTGTACTTCCTGTTTTATTTTGAAGATTCACCTGTCTCTCCTTGTCTCCGTAGGTTTTACTTCCTGTCTGGCGCTGTCACACCTGTTTCCAGATTGTTCCTCCCCAGCTGTGTCTCATCACCCCCTATCACCTCATGTATTTAATCCTCATGTCTTCCCCTGTCTTGTTGCCAGTTCGTCGTACGTCACAGTCTTCGTCCCAGCATTCTTTCTTGTCTCGTCTTTCTGGTAATCACAGTTGTCATTGATCTAGCTTTTGCCTCACGATTTGGATACCTTAGCCTGTCTTGTTTGATTCTCTGTGTACCGAACCCTGCCTGTCTTTTGTAATAAACCTTGCTTTTGTCAAACAGGGGAAGAATTGAGCCTTTGTGTCCCTTCTGTGCCACGTTTATGACAAGTAAAACTGAATCTGAGCAGGCTTTAAAGCTGACCAGCTGCACTATACTTTTTATTTTAATTGAGTAAAATTGTTTAAGCAGAAATGTATATTTATATTTTTCATTCAAAAAATGTGTTAAAACAGCAGGATTTTATTTTTCACTTTTATATTTCTATTTTCATTCAAACAATGTGAAGAAGCAGGATTTTATATACATATATTTGTTTCATTCAAAAATTGTGTAAACAGAGTTAACTGCTGTGGTGGTATGTTTTAATAAGGTTACCAATAAGTAAAAGATATTTAATAGTTGTCTATTTTTTTCATTACTGTACTGAAAAAAAACGAACCGTGACTTGTGTATCGAGGTACGTACCGAACTGTGATTTTTGTGTACTGTTACACCCTTAGTGCTAAGCTAAGCTAACTTGCTGCTGGCTACATATTCAGGCGTGAGATGGTGACGTCAATCTTCAATCATTTCACTGCCAGCAAGAAAGTGAATTAGTATATTTCCCAAAATGTCAAACTTTTTAACGTCACTTTTAAACCTGTAGTTCAGTTCACCTGAAAACATAATAAATGCATTTTTACACTCAATAAATGATCATTTTTTCTTTTTTTTTTTTTTCTTTTAATGCATTTCATATTCACTTAGTCATACGGACTGAGAGGTAACTCTGGACAGGTTTTGCTGGCTGTCATCATGCGTTATCAGCACTACAGGTGACTCATGTCATGAGTCATGTTGCACATTATTGCACCTTTTTTGTTTTTGTTTGACCTCTCTGGTGTCACAAAGACGTAATTGTTACGATCAGTATTAGTCCTGGTTGCAGCTGAGCCTAATATATGATAAATAATGACAAGAGGGTAGAAAACAGGATGAAAAAGGGGCATCTTGTACTGTAATGTTATCGGAAGGATAGTTACTGTGTGGTCGCTTCTTTCTCTCTCCCTTTTTAATGAGGAACTTCTCTTTTATCTTTCTGATGTATCAGGGAAAATCCCTGCTCTCATGTGCTGACACATTAGCATGTTCACCAAATAATTCTACATAATTATATAGGGTTATATAGGTTGCTCAAACAGATCTTTTTGAGCATTTGCATTCTTTAGAGTTCACACAATAAGTAAAAATACTTGAGTTTATAAATTCATGTTAAATTACACGTCCAGTAGTAAGTCTGTTGTGCTTTCACACCACAAACACACCAGAGTGAACCAAACCAAACAGGATACTCCAATAACCTGTTAATTAGCAAGTTGTTTATTTACATGTAAACACACTGATTGTCACTTCTGGCTCCAAAAAGTGGATTGATTGTTTACAACATAACTACAAATTAGTATTTGAATCAGTAACAAAATTGCCACCAAACCTACCTAGTTACATTTTGGGCATTCATTTGGGTCATGTTTGGGTAAATAATTACGGTTCAGTTATAGCTGTCTTATAACAGTTGACTGTAGTGGAATTGAACTGGAATCACAGTGGTTACAGTCATCTTAAACCCCTTTTACACCAGCTGATCAAGGGTGGAATTTTGCGCCCTTATTCCGCCTTGATATTCTGTATGAAAGATAGAATTGTGGATTGGAGGGACAGAGATGTCTCGCCTTTAAGACAGCAGTGGAGGTACTAACAGAGCCAAATCAACTGTGTAAAAGGGACAGCTGGCAGCACGGGACCATGGAAGGGATGAGTTTTGACATCATGATATGTGTGTGACCAACTGTGGGAAGAATAAAAAGCAGCTAGTGCAGTTAGCAGCTAGCTCAAAGAAGAAGAACAGCAGCTGAAAATGTCTGCAAATTGGGTAAAGAATTCGTTACCCTCTGAGCAGAGGACAAGATCAACCACCATATAACAGGAACGGAAAACTGTTGTTATTGCCATGTTAATGCCATTGTTATTGTATACAAAGTGCTGCTGACGCACATATGTCACACTAGAGGCTGATGCTGTTTATGGAAGGTGTTACATGTTACACCCGTCTTGCCATTTATGTTTCTGGGTTGCCAGCATGCTGTCTAGAATCACACACAATGGGGTGGCATTATGCCACCGTTGTTTGGTTCTGTATGAAAACACAAAGGTGGTATAATGGAAGGACTTTATAGCAGCTCTATCACTCAATCTATGTGTGGAAAGGGGCTTTAGACTGCAGGCCCACTCAATCCTGTGTCCTAGAAATTACATTTATATATCAATATACTACTAAAATATCATTAAATAGTACTAATCAGCTGGTTAGGTCTAGGCAACAAAAGCACTTTGGATTAGGTTTGAGAAAGATTGTGGTTTTGGTTAAATGTTGGTGCACATTTATTTGTATTAAACCAAAACCATGATCCTCCCTCACTGTGGCCAAGTGTCCTTATATAACCAATTAAAAGTTAACAATGCAGTCGTCACTACAAGTGAATATTTCATTGCAAGATTGGATATTTGGGTGGAAAACAAATGTATTAACTTCTAAAGGAACATGCCTTCATTAACATTTCCTTATTATGTTAATAGTTAACGTAATCTGATGACTATTACATTTCCTTTAAAATTTTGCATATGTAGGCAACTAGGCTAACAAGTGTGTATCACAGAAAATACACACAGTTAAGAGGATTCATATTGTTATGTAACAAGTCAACCCAGAAAAAAAACAGCAATTTGAACTGAGTGATAAAATATTCAGTCGTAGGCCATACTGCAGCATGTTGTCAGAGAAGTGAG